TGGTTTTATTGCATGGATGATATGCAACGTCAGTTATTTTCCTCAGTTTCGTCGCTGGAGGTCAAGTTGTCAAGAATAAGTCCATACGAAATAGAAGGAAAGGAAACAGAGTTTTACTGTAAATTAGAAGGAGATCAAGAAATAGGAGATGGAGCAACATTCATAATTTGGCTTCTCGACAACGCAAAGCAGTCTGAGGTACAAGGGGTTCGACGGAGTCATCTACGTCTCAAGCTGAACAGAAACCATACAGGGTCGACGTTGAAGTGTCTAGAGCACCCGAGTCAGATAAACGACACATTAAAGCTCGACGTACGAGGTAAAATCTTGACATGAACCACCCTAAACTTTGGCAGAGTACTTAAACAAGTTAAGTTTAGTGATACCAATAAAAGATTTTCAACCTGATATTCCCTATTACTTCAGATCGCTACATATCAAAACACACACTCTTAAAACAACCCAGTCAAAATGTGGACTAATTTTCCTAGTTGTTCAAAATTGATTACGGATTCAAACACCCACGCTAACGTTGGCATATCATGCTTTCTGACAAGATTCCTTTTCGATGCCTTTGAAATATCAATGAACTGGCTAAAAATCTAGTCGGATTGACTAATTTCCAGTTGTACCCAGGTGACCCTGAAGAGCTACTCAAATTATACTGAATTCTAGTCAAATTTGACTGATCCTTTTCAGAGTGCATAAAAACCTCTTTCAGCTAAATGTAACATGTGTCTTGGTCCAGTTCCCCCTTATAGTGTCACCCTGGACGTGAACTCTACCCAGGCCTGTGCAAGTGACACGGGCTGCAGCGCGGTGGTAAAGATCGGGCGTTACTACCGATTCACCTGCAACGCGTCTGGTTCGAATCCAGCCAGTAACATCACGTGGCTGATCACTACAAAAGGCCAACGGGGAATGGAACAGAGAAAGGTTCCTGCAGATTGGAGTCAGTCACGCCAGGATGAGAGCATGGATTGGGACACATCGAGCCAAATCAACCTGCAGATACCCAATAGCATTACCAGAATTACATGCAGAGTGTTCCCAGATGACACATTCAAAGAGATCTCTATGAAACTGGTGGTCAACAATCATCATGATGAGTTCAGACGAGGTAAAATGACATGAGGTCATTTCAGTGGCGTTACTAAGGGGGGAGGGGAGGGACATAGAATACTTTCCCCTGCTCAAGGCCTCCCGTCCTCCTCCGAGTACTCCCCGCTTCCCCGAGTTTAGAAATGAGAAAAAGAAACACTTCTGGGAAGAGTCACCCTGGTCAATGTTTCACCTTTCATCCTTCAGCTCCTAACGTGCCCCCTCCAAAAACTGAGGGATACCAAGTGTCCCCCTGCACAATGTACCCCGGTTACGTCAACGGGGCAGTTTTAATAACTATTAAATTGGTTAAAACCTTCATCATTTTAATTATATTTGTAATACTCGAATGATTCTCCTTTGAACAGGAAAACTCTTGTTTATCATCGTACCGAGTTCAGTGGTTGTTCTTATGACCGTTGTCATGGCATTTAGTTGTATACTGCGATCAATCGCCAGACACAAGAGGACGCAAGAAGCAAGAAAGGTAAGTGTAGCATTAAAAAAAAAACCATGAATTACAGTTGTCATTTTTCCAATGGGAGTCTAAATGACCATTTTATTTTGATGGGGGTTTATTTGCAGCCCCAAAAACTGCTGTCCCAGCTTACGAGTGGACAGCTCAGCCACTTTAATCTCGCTCTTCGAAGTAACTTGTTGAGAAAGAAAGATGGCGAGAGCAAGGCGAGCCTACGATGTTGACTTTACCATTTCCCATTGAGAACCTCATTTTTGTATGATGTTCAAGCAGAAAGGAAATTTAGAATTCTTGAATTGACACAAAATCAAAGTGTTTTTGCTTAAAGGAATCCGAATATGGAACCATTGAAGATTTCGAGTTTCCTCGAGGCAAGATCACGCTTATTGAAGTGATTGGAAGTGGACATTTCGGTCAGGTCTTCAAGGCAACTGCAGATGGGATACTGAAAGAAGGGGTCGAGTCAGAGGTTGCTGTCAAAGTACTGAAAAGTAAGGCAAACTGGAAAATTCCTTTTTATAGGCCTGTGGAGTAGCTGCCTTCAATGCAGGGGACCTCAAAAGGAAAACTGAATGAGACTCTGGTACATCTATGAAGACTCGATTATTTTCCAGTATTTTTGGTCACATTTGGCTTTTTCAGAGTCGGCAACGGATGTGGCTGCTAATGATTTCAAAAAGGAAATTGCTATCCACAAAAATCTGAAGAACCATCCCAACGTAGTGTCTATGCTAGGGTGCTGCACTGAGTTGGGTAGGTAAAACCAGAGAATCGTATTGAAGTTAAACAGGTCTTTTACTTGAGATTGTAAGAACCCCCAAAACTTCAACAATGTATTACTTTTAAGGTCTCCTAGGGGAACAGCAAAGACCTGTCCATATTGTAGGTCTCTATTCGTGGTGTAGCTTCTACTGCTGGCATCAAGGTATAGGTTTCTACAACTAGGTATCACTCTTTGATTGTTTTATTTCTATTTTTTTACAGAACCACTCTTCATCATCCTGGAGTACCTACCAGGAGGAAATCTCCAGAGCTTCTTGAGGAACAAGAAGGAGGCGTGGCCACAAGCGGCCATGGAGGGAGCAGAACTCGTCTCCTCGTCTCAGCTTTTGGCGTTTGCATCTCAGATTGCTACTGGCATGGAATGCCTCTCATCCATCGGGGTGCGTAAGGGAAAACTTAGCAGGCAGCAAAACTCTCAGACTGAAATCCAGAATCGCCCTGAAATCCAATGCCATCCCACCCAAAGCCAAATCCAAATGGACAGCCTGACCCGACAACAGTTCCTTCTTTTTAAAGTATACAGAATGTTGACAATTACAGGGCAATTGGGAACTCTCATTTCGGTTGGTAAATGAACCAAGGGAACATTTATTTATAACTTGTAGTTCATTCACCGAGATCTGGCAGCCCGTAACATCCTCCTCGATGAGGACCTGGTCTGCAAATTGTCTGACTTTGGCCTGGCACGAGACGTGTCTGGGATCGAACAATACGAGATGACATCCATGGTAAGTCTGGGACATAGTAACAAGGGGACACAAAAAATACATAAAGGAAACATGAAGTGAGAACAAAAAAGTAGACAGGCATTGACTGACCAATCAGACAGCAAATCTGAAATGAACACTGACCTCCAGGAAATGGGGGCTCATTCAGACTCGATAATAGCAAACAGAAAAGCATCTTCAACGGGCATCAGGAGTTGGGAGTCAAAGGGGAAGAAATGGGGTTTTGAGGGCTTCTAAAACGGGTTGGACATGCACCCCACCGCCGACTTCTGAATACAAAGTACGTGGTCTTCTAATGTTTTCTGTAGGGAATGATTCCTGTTCGATGGATGGCGATCGAGAGTCTGGTTGACAATGTGTACACCACCAAGAGCGATGTGTGGTCATTCGGGGTCTTGCTGTGGGAGATAATTACACTAGGTTTGTATGTATGTCCCCGCCTTAAAGATCTGGTCAACCACACTTGTGACGTCACCCTATCCAGGAAAGTGTCGAATATTCTTTAAGATGTTCAGTAAAATGTATATTACTTTAAAGAATGTAAAGTGAACTGTAATTAAGGAACATCTCATCTGTGCATTGCTTTGTACATACTATAAAAAACTCAAAATTGATTTCATAGACATAAAAATGAAATCGCAGTTGTGACATCAAATTATCACGTCGAAAACAATAAGAAACGCACGTGAAAGTTAGGAACACCATTTCAGACGCAGTATGGGTTGATCATTTCTCTTTTGTTTTCATTCCGCTGTGCTAATATTTTCTGCTTCGTGTTTGGTGGTGATTACCCATTGCAGAGAGAAAACGTCTTTCATTTCATTTATATTTTAAATATGTTTTCATTTTTATGAATGACCCTTCACTTGTGTTTTTATTTCATCACTTTTCTTGTTTTAGTTATTTTTAGTTACATGTATTTCTATTCATCTGTAAATTGTGATTCATAACGTTTATTACGGTTTTTGCACTTTGGCAATTTCAGTTTAACTTCAGTTTTAACCCTTCCTTTGATACACGATTGTAATAAAATAAACAACTCTAACGTTAAAGATTCGTTTATAGCTTTACAGAACAGATTAATAGCTTAGACACTCACCAATCAATACTCTCCAGTTGATATTCCAAACGCATGCATTTTCCAAACGAAATCATATCTTACGGTGACAGAGGGATCCAGATGATGCGTAAGCACATACTTCCAACGTTCATTTGAAGCGACGGTGTACTGTGGTTCCCGAGTTAGTTGCGCTCCAAACGTGCGTCTTGATCGTCAAAAAAGCCCTACATTCCGTACAGTCATACCCATAGGGTTTGAAAACTTGAATCTGGCATACTCCCAATCCAATCCATTTAGACGTGATGTAGTGAAGACTGTGTGCGCGCCAAATGATCCACCGACACTGACAACTGTATGGCTCTGTGTGTGACTTGACAGGCCCACGCATGCACCTTGCACGTGAAAGAAAAAAAAATTGTGCGCCTAGCCGAAGAGTTGCATAATTAACAGCTTGGGTTAGGAGAAAAGCTTTTGTGTACATGCAGATGCGCATAGCTAGCTTACCACGGACGATGGATAGAATTCGTCTCACAGACGAAAGCATTTTGTTCTCTCGTACAATAGACTATAGTTGAAGGTGGGTCGTTGGACGTTGGAGAAACAACAAAAGGGTGAAGATTCTTTGATTCGAATGGCTTGCTTCCTCGTTCATTTTGAACGCAAGGATATCCGCTTTTTCGTCCGTTCTCCTTATCCAGGGGATCAGAGGAGAGGAGACAACCCCCCCCCCAAAAAAGACGTTCACATAATGGAGACGGTGAGGGCCTTGTGAAGACTATGCCAAGTCCACACAAGGCTACTTCCTTTTTGGAAACAATTTTAAAGGAATTCGGGTTATCTGTAGTGTAGTCATTTCAAGCCAGTAAGTAAGTAACCAAGCCAGTAACCAAGCTAAGTAATAAGGACTCGTCATCAGGAGGGAACCAGTCACATGATAAATACATAGTGAGTGACACTTTGGCTGGTAGCCCTTTTATTTCAGCAAATGACTTTTTTCTTGGCGCATTTCACTAGCCACTGATGTTTAACTTTTGCGATCAAATGACATGTACTTGTGCTTTCCAGTTGCATAGAGGCAAAAAAACCCTTTTTCTTTTCGCAGGTGCCCATCCCTACCGTGGAATGCATCCTCATGACGTTATTGACTCC